ATATATAACTGTCATGATGCAGCAGTTGATATTCTCCAGAACCAGATTGCTTTGATAGGAAACCAAGATGGAAGACGCCCACTTAGTAGAATATGGCACTTAGCTCCACTTCATTCCACCTTATCTCACTCCTCCTATCTTTTTGGAATACCTTAAAAAACCCAAACAAACATTTGGTAATTACTGTGCACTGATAACCTCCTCCCCAGGCAACTTTTCTGTCTGCACGACTCTCTTTACGTCTCTGCCTCTCCCTCTTTAGTTTAAGATGTAAAATGCAGCTTTATTTCTTTTTAATTAGAGGCTCAGAACAGCCAGACAATCATACTTTAATTAAAAGAGACTAAACCAACTGTTGGTTTGCTATATCATTGGTGGCAGTGGAGTGGGTTTAAACCTTTTCTACCGTGGAATTTCTAAAGAAAGTCACTCAGTCAAAACTCTCAGGTCTTAATTAGGCAAATATAAGTGACTGAAGTTTAAAGGTTAGTATGAGCAAATCAGCAGTTTTATTAAGTTAGAAAGAAACAGCTTTGATTTCTACATGCATTTACATTAAATGACTTTATTCACTGTATAAATTACATTTGTTGTGCATTTTTTAATTTATAGACTGATGCAGGGTCAGTGTACATGTGAACAAACCCTTCTGAAGCTAACCTACAAGCTTTTTTTCTTTATACTAAAGAAACACCTTACATAACTTTGAACAACATAAATTTAAAATCAAGACTATTTTAAATTAAAAACGCTGTTGGATTAATCTATGGTTTAATTTGCATTATTTAAACAACATATTTAATTCAAACAAAATTATGCTTTTAGAAAGTCCAGGATAAAGTACAAAATAAACTGTCTGGGGTCGGATTTATAAAGCTTGCGTACGCACAAAAGGAGCCCAGAAACTTGCGTACGCCACTTTTCATGCAAATTTGTGGTTTATAAAATCCAAACTTGACGTGAAAATGTGCGGTCCCTCACGCCAGCTCTGACCCATGCGTACGCTCATTTTGGAGACGGGAAAGACAGATGGTGAAGTGAAGAATTAGAGCCACACTGTGTAATGATCACTGTCAGATATTTAATTTCACCTCATAATCAGACTTAGATTTTTATTCAGCTTTATCATAAGCTTTCTTAACAGTAATATTTATGCTTCTGCTGCTGAGCCATAAGGATCTTTGAAATAAAAAACTTAAATCTTAAATAAAAGTTCACCTCCATTCATCTGCTTCCTCCTCAGACAACCCTGACCCACAGACCCCTCCCTGACACATTTCAGCATGACAGCAAAAGTCACGCTTTGGGTACACGCACAGGGCGTGCCCCTTGCCTGTGTATAAAACTTCACTTTTTAAAGTCCATATTTGTCAACCTTCCTCATGGCGGAGCGCAGCCCCCCCACTCCCCCACACATCCCATCCATGACTCCTGCAGGCTCTCGGGTGAAACTGAAAGTGAAACTGAAACAGTCTGCTGAGCTCCTAATTACTTCTCACTCAATGAAGCTCTTTTCAGATTAAAAATACCTTTGAGGAAATGYATTTTCAGATGCCAAGTAAATAGCATCATAGCGCACGTGCGAGCACCCCGCATTGAAATGGACAGGACAGAAGAGGAAAGTCGTTCTTAAAGAGAGAGAGGCCAATTTTAAAGTGTTTAGAAGAGGAAGTGATGAGAAGATAAGTTTTTTTTCTATTTTAAATATTAAAAACAGCATTTTCATAACAATTAAAGGTGACATAGATACTTTATTATGGTATGGTATTTAAATGTATGCCCAAGAAACACATAATATTGCCCCTTTAACAGGTTCAGGAATCCCTGTTTGTCGTGAAACTTACTGGTTTGATCCTCCATCTGTGAACATGTGACCTGATGTGAATGATTCATCACACTACAGCTGCTAAGTCTCACTTCTAAACAAAAAGAGCAAAACAAAACCAAAATCCTTAGGCATTTCACCTGAAACGCAGGGGTTATCAACAAAATTTGCTTCAGGGCCATTTTTTTAAATTAATTTTTTTAATAAATTGGGCAGTATGAGGGTCAGCCTTTGATTTCTATCTCTCTGCAAATTGCATGAAAAGATCATATTTGCCTTGTTTTCAGTTTTAAACAGTTTTCTATTTTTTTGTTTGAAAGGTTTATCTTTGACTTTACTTGTAAATCATTCTGCATAAGTGGGTTTTACAAAACTGGTAAAAGCTAAAAATAAAAACAAATCTGAGTTTAGAGTTAGATGTCATTCATACCAGAAGGAAATCAATATAAGCAGATTAGTGTTAAAAAGAGTTTGTAATATTTTACCTTAAGGGTAGCTACATTTGACACAAATAAGAAGAAAATATTTTAACAGTTAATAGGAGCAGCTGACTCCTGCCCAAACTGCTAAACATTACTGCAGCATCTCTGCTAGTTTTTACATTGGGTCAGATCACGTGTTTGAGAGAGAAAGATGACTACTGTATTTTGACTTTATAATAATTTAATATTTATGGTCCAAATGGAATGAGTCTTATTTACAGCAAATTCATAATTCCTGCTGTACTGAATTAAGTCAAATCCGAAATTTCTGCAAAACTGTACAGCAGTTTGATTTATGGCATGCACTGAGAGACAGTAACAGTTCTTTAAAATAACCTCTGAATCTTAACCACACACAAAAGTGCTCCTGTTGTGTTTTGAGCTTGCAGGATAAAGGACTCCAACAATTTTTACAAATACAACTGAAGTATTTAACACTTTCTTCATAAATTTTAAAAAAGAAACAAGGCACTACTGACCATTCACCTGCAGCACATGTGTCTGATAGAGGTCTTCATAGCCGTAGGCATGGCAACTGTAGTTGCCCATGTGTATTGTTGTCACCTTGGTGATGTACAACGAGCCATCGTCCCCAAAGTCCTGTAACACAGGGAAGAAGGCAAAAGAGAAGAGTTATGTTAAGAAAGAAGAGGAGCAATGAAGATGGGGGAAAAAGAAGAAGAGGAGGGCAGAAGTAGGAACAGTGGTGAAGAATTGGGTGCAGAGAACATCCACAATAAGAGCAAAACGAAGGTAGCTTGATAGAATGCATAACAATGCTTGGAGAGAGCAGGAAGAGAAGGCACACAACAGCAGGGAATGATGGGAAGAGACAAGAGAGAAAAAGAGTGATGGGAAGAGGAAGAGAAACCATGAATCAATGGTTTCCCTGTTGAGCTGAAGCAGGCATTTGGGAGTTTGATCCCTCTCCCTCTCCTCATCGCGCTGCCTCAGCCTGATAAATGGCAAGGGTTAAAAATATAAAGCCCATTAGGCTGATGAATGGCGCCACTGTTGTTGGTGCAGCATGAGGCAATCACCGGGGAGTTCCAGCTCCAACTTAGGGTGGATTAAGGCATTAAATATTTGCTGTCCCACCAAGTGGTAGAGCACAAGTCCTTATGCTGCTCTGCCATGACTCTGAAAGAAAACCTCTAAACCTACAACTCAACAGCTTTCTTTCCAGAAGTCTGTAGACTGTAATGTGCCCTAACTGAGAGTCACTTTATGATGGGAACAACATAAAAGTATTTTCATGTAAGATGGATGGGAGAGCTTAGCTAAAGTTCTAAATCTACTATTAAACCTAAGAGATATGAGTAGACCGACAAAGACAATTAAACTGAATGGGCCATTTGGGTTATGACTCTAATCTGGCAGTAAAATGTGGGGGGTTCAAGTACAAGATCTGACATATGGCCTGCTCCACAGGTGAAATAGATGGAAGTGGAAATGTGCAGAAGCCATGATTGTTAACTGTCAATGTTATCAAGAAGGTAACTAGAACTAATAATAATCTGAGTGGTTTTAGATTAAACTGAAAATCTAAAAAGCTTAAGATTTGAAATTTTTACATCCTCTTTTTATTTATAAATGCCCTGATACACAAACACATGACAACTCTGGTTTCATAAAAAAATAACTTTAAATGCTTTGGGTTTTCTATTGAAAAACAATATCACCTTAGACATATTTTCAAAAGTAATCATTGCATTTTAATATCCTACAAAACAGAACTAAAAACCTTTTTGCAGCTTTAAATGTCTTATGCTTTTGTGCTTAAATGTTTTAGCTTTAAATGTTATACAGTATGAAACAATTTCATAAGAAGTACAGTGCACATGATGTATTTAATTTCCTAAAAGTTTTCCTATCACTCAGTTTGAACTAAAACTTCTTTGGAAAACTATACTGCAAATGCATTAGTTCCCTTTCATAGTTTAAATGTATTCTTTCTGCATGTACACAGTACTGGGGTAAGAATGCATCTCTCCTAAAATGTAAAATGTCTTGTTTAGTGAATGACAGGGAAAAAGCTGCTCACAGCAGAGGTAGGTGGGCAGAGAGAAATTCTTCAATCTTTCAGGTCTGTGGATTATTTGCTGAGGTGCAGGAAAAAAAACAGTTGAAAGAAAATACAACTTTTGAAAACTATCTTGTTTCCATTCAACACAGTTCTGCAGGAGAAAACACTCAATGAGATTTGACAGGAAATTAAAGTTCCTTCCTTCCTCTCACCTCTGTACCATAGGGGTGAAGAATTGGGCGGCTGTGGCGGAGTGGTTAGGGGAGTCGTCCTGGAACCAGAAGGTTACTGGTTCGATCCCCCGTCCAGCCATCTCAGTCGTTGTGTCCTTGGGCAAGACACTTCACTTCACCCACCTTGCCTACTGATGGTGGTCAGAGGGTCCGGTGGCGCCGATGTATGGCAGCCCCACCTCTGTCAGTGTGCCCCAGGGCAGCTGTGGCTACAGTGTAGTTTGCCATCATCAGTGTGTGAATGTGTGTGAATGGTTGAATGCCTGTTAGTGTAAAGCGCTTTGGGGGTCCGGAGGGACTTGAAAAGTGCTCTATAAGTTCAGTACCATTTACCATTTACTGTGTATAAAGTCAACTTGTAAAAAATGTTGGACAGTTAGAGAACAAGTCTCTGAAGAAAAAAAGTGTCATTTGTTGTCCTGATGCATCTCAGTAATCCAGGTAAAAAAATCAAAAAGAAAAAAAATTGTATAGGTCTTCTGGATGGGTTCTTCTCTAATGAAATGTTTCGTCTCTTCTCCAAGAGACTTCTTCAGTCTGAGAGTTTCAGGCAAAATTCAGGCTTTTAAGCCCAGCCTCCAGGTGACTGATACTCACATCACATGGCTATCATTGACACCTAATTAACACTTACTGTTTGTTAACAGGGGTGGAGTGATACTGGAAATAGCCGCGCTGTAGGAGGGGGACAACTGAAAACGGAGGCCTCCACCTCTGTTTAATGATGGACGGTCTTTCTTCACAAAAATGGCTTCTTTTACTCCTCTCTCAAACCAATGTTCCTCTCCATCAAGAATGAGAACATCCTCATCTCTGAAAGTGCAGAGTTCTGGCCATTAGACGTAGCTCGTCTGTGTTGGGACATTCTTTTGAACAGTGGCTGCTTTGTTTCCCCGAAGTATAACTGGTCGCAGTCCTCCTGGCACTTAACAGCATATACAACATTGCTCTGTTTGTGCCGGGGCACTGGATCTTTGGGGTGAACCAGCCTTTGCCGTAATGTGTTTTGGGGTTTGAAAGCCACTGGGACATCATGTTTAGAAAATAAACGTCTCAGTTTCTCCGAAACACCCGCAACATACGGAATAACCACTGGTTTGGGTCTGGGTTTGGGGTCTTCATTTTCACCTGAAGGTTGCATGGAATCCTGTCTGTGTTTCCTGTCTGCTTTCAGGAAAGCCCAGTCAGGATAACCACACTGCTCCAGGGCCTGTCGTGTGTGTGATTTCTCTTTCTCCCTGGCTCCTGGGTTTGTGGGGACACTGTCTGCTCTGTGGTACAGAGTCCTGATCACTCCTAACTTGTGTTCCAGTGGGTGGTGGGAGTCAAAATGCAAATATTGGTCTGTGTGGGTGGGCTTACGATATACGTCAGTTTCCAACCGTCCTGCATCCGAAACCCAGACATCGCAGTCCAGGAAAGCCAACCTGCCATTTTTTACATCCTCTCGTGTGAACTTAATATATTCATCCACAGAGTTGATGTGATCAGTGAAATGTTGGACTTCCTGGGCTTTAATTTTAACCCAGGTGTCGTCAAAATATCTGAACCAATGGCTCGGTGGCACCCCTGAAAAGGACATCAAGGCTCTCTTTTCCACTTCCTCCATGTACAGGTTTGCAACAATTGGAGAAACTGGGGATCCCATGGCACACCCATGTTTCTGCCTATAATATTGCCCCCCGTACGTTAAGTAGGTTGACTCCAGGCACAGTTTGAGGAGTTGGCACACATGTTCTGCGGAATTGTGTCATTTGTGTCATTTGTTGTGTTTGACACTCTTCTTCACTACTAGTGCTTCAGTCTTACACGTCTAACCAAAGTTTAGAGATGCATTTATTTAGACATTATCAGACATCCATTTAGGCATCTTGTATTACAGCTGATGAATACCTTAAACCCTGACATGCTGATTAATGTGACATACATCATATTTAGAGTATCATTCCTCTACAGTATACACTATAATCACGTCCAAAAGATTAGCTTGGGTATTTTAATTATAGAAAATATCATATTAGCATTTACATTAAGCTCTACAATAGAAAATTTATTTGAAGTTTAATTACATCAGTCAACCTTTTAGGTATAATTAATTATTCTCAATGAGCACTAATCGACGTGTGCAGCACTCAAAATGAAAATGAGAAAAATGAAATATTCACCCAATCTTAATGAAACACAATCCAAGGATCATTTGGATGTTGTCTGTGATGCTTTAGAGATAAGTTATTGAATTGTCTCATTACCTAATGGTCTTTTTCCCAGTAACTCATGTTTATACGATAGGCTGCTGCTCAAACCTGAAGTTCACCAACCTGCAACTAAGAAGTTGGCATACAGCTTTAACTTCTGCCCGCCCCCCACACACACATGTTGTATTTTTTTTAAAAAATTTAGTGGATTTCTGAATAACAATCCCACAGTAAAACACTGAGATTATCTATCATTAATTTTCTTAAGTTATTTCATTGATTAAATAAAAATGTCAAAGGCAGTAGGTGCTCTTCTCTACCTTCCTCTTCTCAATTCAGTAAACTGAAAATCCATTACGTGTGGTCAAGGGCCTGACAGATCTCGGTTGTCGTTTCTCCTCATCCTGTCTTGACCTTAACACTTGACATTGTTTATCTACTCATCGCCACAGCTGACCAACATGCTGCTTATTAACACGCGATTAGTGAACTGTGATCCGGTGGAGAAAAACGCAAACACTGACCCTGTGCTGTCACCTGTGCAGATGTGTCTAAACAGGTTGGCTGCATAGTTCATTAAGCACAGAGCTAATTGTACCGTTTTATGGAGGGGATGAAAAAAATGCTTATTTTCACTTCTTTCCTGGCAAGTTAAAGTCTCCTAAAGGCTCTGTCTTTTGCCACTTCTTGTGAAGTTGCTTGCTGATAAGAATTTACATAAAACATTTTTGTGCAATATTTTTAAATATGGCTAACAGAGTCCAGATAGGGGGAAAATGTTGCAAATAGAAATTATTAGAAAAAAAAAATCCCAGAGCACATAACTCCCAGCAGCAATACAATTATCAAAAATTTCATGTTAAAACCCTTAATAGTTATTTTGCAATAATGCTAGGAACCCCCACTGTGCTTCAATTTATTAATTATCAATTAAGCAGGCAACTCGAGTTTTTAAAAGAGGGGGTTTCAGTGTTTCCCCTAGGAAATTGGTCTTGGGAGGG